TCTAATATTTGAATTGTTTGATATTTTGTCTGAAAACTGAATTAAAGATTTACATATTCAATTTTTGTTTACTTTTGCTCGGCTCGAGTATTGAACCCGGCACCTAGGCTTTTTACTCGGCAATTTGATAATAATATTTTTTGACAGATTGGTAGCAAGATGCTTGTACACGTTGCGGGAAATTCCCTTTGAGTGAGTTAATGAGCACGTTCAAAGTTAATTATATACCTAGATAAGTGCCTATGACATAGCTTCCGCTTGCCAGGTGACCGGCGTCGGGTACCCGGCGGCTCAATATATATATGGCCATGTACTGTAGCTTTCATTCACACGTAACGGCGTAATTTGTATATACTGCACCGCTAGGTACCCGGCACCGGCTACCCGGCAACCGGAACCTGATTGTCGAAGTTAGAGAACCAGAATTACTATGCTTCCAAAATTTAGAGCTACTACGAGAGTTTAAAAATAGCGAATAGTAAGGTTGAAAATAGGGAAGATATTACTACATTAAATCAATTGAAACCTGGCTGCTGAAAGAGGTTGCATTTATAACTGTGCAGAAAACTTAAGTAAAATATTTAATTTCAATAATTTAAATTGATTAATTCATCAATAAACGCGACATTAATTATAAATAGATTAATTCGGTTAATAAGAAGTTTTATTGATTTAATATTGTAGGGCGAAATCTAGCACATCTTCAAATTGAGTATTTCATTTACTCCTTGTGCGCTGCGGTGTGGGTTCTACATATTTTAATTTAGGACAGGAAATAACTTGATAAATAACAAGCCATTTATTCAATGCAATTTATTCATTACTCAAGATCATTTCATTACATACAAACGCACCATATACTTAGCATAACAATAATTTATTTCAAGGCTTTATTGCCCTAATGTGTAAAGTATTGAAAGAACACATTGTCATGCAAATCAATAATCCTGCACAACAAATTTATAAGTACTTAAATATTATAAACAACAGTTAAACATTCAATCATTTTAGTCAGTGGATATTAGAAAAAAGCATGTGCATTTTATTTTTGTAATTATACAATAATTTTATTTTATGGATCGTGAAACATTAAGAAGTAATTATAATAACAATTTTAAACATGTATAACGAATCTATAATCTATGTTACATTTACTATCTGTGGCCACTGGCACAGGGCGGGAAATTTTAAAATAAAATATCTTTGGAAAGTATCTTGAATTGTAAATTGATTAATTTAAAACAAACAAATGTGTATTTATTACGTTGATAACAACATTATAAAAAATGGGGTTTAATACATTTCTTCAACAAATTGCACCATTTAATCCGATGCGTTAAAACAAAATTTCCTAAAACTTATTTTCACCGATAATTTCAAAGGCTACTGGACTATTAGGGAGAAACTTGAAGCAAGCTAAAGCTGGAAACGTGGTCAGTAGCACTTGATTTACTTACAAAACAATAAAGTTCATCTAATTTTCGACGTATAATAAGAAAAATGCTGATCGCTGTCACCAAACTAAGCCTACTGCGAAACTACAATTACTACAAGTAAGTTCTAAAAGACTATTCAATAACCTATCGTTTCAACAACTTTTTAATTTTAAGGTATTGAGTTTATGACTCTAGGCGATTCATTTTAAAGAGCGAAGGCAGTAGGTAGGTAGATATCACGCGTGCGGTAGGTATTCACTCGTGTTATATTTTTGAAATACAAGCCATGTTTATTTTAATTTTTGAAGCTTGATTTCTAAAATCATTCTATCTGGCTGGCGGGAAGATTTCTATATTTTTTTACTGTTTTAAAACTCGCGTAAAGCGGGATTAGTAAGTGAACACCTGTTTAGGCATTTTGAAAACTTGCAGATGCTATAAAAATTATGGGTTTATTGGAATCTTAACATCTTAGCGTCTTTTACAATTACCATGCTTACTCGTAAATATGAAGTAGCTTACATTAAATGGACAGTGATAATTATCATACAAGGTGTACTTAGCTTACCAAATTAAAATATTATTTTATTTTAACATTCACTACCTAAGACTACTTATTAATAATGGACAGAATTGCGTGTAGCGTGTCTTTGATAAAACCAAATATTTTATAGTGTGACGTGTTTACACAGTGAAGGATAGAGGTGATAGGATAGTCGAGGATGTCAAGATAGTAACATTTAGAGCTTTTAAGTTGGTCACACTGGGTTTTTTGGTAGATTTTTATACCTGTACAAGTAGTTCAAAAAGTGTTTCCATTATCATTCACTTACGATTTTTAACCGTAGGCTTACAATATATCGAGTATAGCAGACCATAACAATGCTTCACCACAATCACCACTTTCACACAGTTTTTTTAATACATTTCACATAAGTACGCTTAAATGACAGTTCGGACGATGAAAACTGATCTATTGATCTAAAAATGTATGTGTCTACCAAATGTTTTATGTTTTAGTTTGTACTAGTGGTAGCAAAGCAATTTTATGGTCGATTTTACATTAACAGAATCGATCGACCGTGGGTGAGGGAAAGACGAAAGCTCTCGAACTAAATCGATAGTCTAAATTGCATCTATAACAAATAATAGTCTACAATAAGCATAGATAGCTAGGGGACTATAATATAATGAATAGAAGGTACAATCTACGTGTAACTGGGTACACTACAACTACAGAGGGACGTGAGTTCAAGGGTTCAAGAGTCATTTGTACAATTATCTAATAACTACGTGAATAATTCGACTATAGATTTATAGAAAAACATTTTTATCTAAGACTAGAAGAACGCTCTTTACCATGATGTTCTGATTTAATAAGTATCATTAATTACAAGTAGTTACCGATCTATGGGGTAAACCTTGCTAGGAAGGAGGGAGTATGGTTTACATTGAAGCAAGTTATGAATGAACTATTAGTACTTAATTTCGTATAGTATAATCACTGATCTGTCTCTCATTTCGTTAATCTTAGTTTTGGCACAGAGATAGGAAAAGACGAGAAGAATATAAACTTTCGTATGTCTAGGTGCATTTAAGCCTAAATCACAGAACGGAAGGAGCGGTGCTGGCGTAGTGATGCAAAAATATAGTTTATAATTGATTGTATATTAGATACAATATTACACGACGTATGCGTAAAAAACTATGTCTTTTGTAACGTGTTTGTGACGTCACTCAGCCGTAACACAACTTTATTTAGCATTACATTACATTTACATAGTCTAAACTCGTCCTAACTTTATATTGACATAGTTCAATTAGCGAAAATGACTACAGTATTGGCACTTTCGCACTGTTGTTAGACCTCCTCGAGTACAATAATGCTTTATTGATAACTACCACTATTTACAGCTGCACACGAAGTGGCACACGATGTGATAAATAACGTTTACAGTATAAAACTAAAGTAAAATACTTCAAACTACTAAAATCATAGCAATAAAACGGTATAAGGAAAAATAAAAGAAACAAAATAATTCGCTATAACCATTTAATAAAAACCAAAAATAATTACAACAACGTCAATTATTTATTTATAATATTCAAAATTAAGTACTTGTTTACCCACCACCATTAAAATAGCACAAGATTGAAATATAGGAATGTGCCAAATTATTTTAAATACTGGAATGACAGAAGAGAAAGCGTACAGTATAATTAAAAAATGAATCAAAAATATATAAATAATTTCATACGTAGCTAGTGATTCACGATAAGTATATATTGCACAATTGAAGTCAATAAATAAATCAATTAATTAAATATAATCTCAATTTACATAAAACATTGAAAATAATAAAATGGACGTCTTGAACAAGAGATCTAGGTATATTGTGTAAATAAAATTATAAACATAATATAATATTGCGTTAAATTAATAAAACCCTATGGCACTACATAAATAATTTACTGTAAACTAATTCTTTCATACGGTGAAATAATCTTTTTATAATACATAGAATACTATAGGTGGATCTGGTTTGAATAAATACGATCACAGCAATGGAAAGATTCTTTTTTAATGAATTGAATATTCGTATTCCTTCAAATCTTGAGTCAACAACACTCTGCTACATTGTCAAAGTAAAACTACTTTAGTAGTATTTTAAATTTCTAGGTTGGCAACACTAATGGTACAGATAATATAAGCCCGAAGTGTGCAGAATGTGTCACTCACTGATACATCCATCCATCTTGTAATACAATGCTACGACTTCATTTACTTAAATAAATAACAATTGATTCAGTACCAATAAAGTATAATAAGTTACAACTACATTAATATTTCACCTTAGAAACAAATCTTAACACAAAAGATCTTATTACAATAGTAATTTGGTAAATTGTATAAATTTCATGGAATGTTATGAAGTCGTCACATTAATTTAAGTACTTCCATTTTAAGTTTATTAGTATAATTAATTGTTACTAAATCAATCATAATAAAAATCAATGGAATGTCAATGTATTTAAAATTAATTAAGTACTTACTCGCCAGTTGCTAATACTTGTATTATCCAATATAGCATTAGTGTGTCGAAATACAACCGAACAATAATTTAATTATTTAATATGTTGACCGGTGCGGTACTTTAAACTAGCTGCTATTAGCCGCGAATCAATTTAAATTACCACACTTAATAATTAAATTCACTATCCTTTACAGTTCATTAATTTACATTGTTAATTACTAATTAATAAGTACGTCAATGGATGTACATGGTTTTAAGTTTAACATTTCAGATATCGTTATATCTGTCGTTTTATCGCGTAAATTGTAAAGAACAGTGAACATGTGTTAATAGTACTAGCAGCCGTTACGTCTTTCTATAGTACTGTACTCTCAACGTAATATATCGCCGTCACTTAAATACGAATGGTAAAGCCAACAACAGACTGGCAACACCTGCCGAGGTAATTGACAATATGGCCGGGTGTTGCCAGTGTGTCCGGCAGGTAATTGATTTACGTTTATTAATAATAACTAAGGTACCGCCAGGCTCAGTATCGCTGTTGGTACTCGTGGTGCCATCTGTTGAAGTCTATGTGGAATACAACCAGGGAACCGTTCTCGAGACCAGCTAACAGGAACCTGGAAGAAGGTGCACGTAAAAATTATTACATGAATGAATGTGTCAATTCGGATTTATTAGTGTAGCTGGCAAATTAATGGTACATGTTTAGTTGGAAAATAAGTTATTTAAAGCATTTTAGGATGTCACCTTAAACAATTGGTTGAGTTTGTATATTACACTGCTGTATTGTTTTTATATATATATTTGATGTTCCGACGTTTTACCATTATCTCGCCTGGTAGTAAGCGATGATGTGGTCTACGATGGAACACGTCGTCCCATGAACAATCTATTCACTCGGGCCTTGAAGACGCCCAGGAATTCCACTCCTTAGCAGTACGCACAAGCTCGATGGTTGTATTAGTTATAGAAAATGTATAGTTACTTCTGGTCGTGCGAGAGTGCGAGCGAGCAGACGGGCGCGCCGGCGGGCGGGAAGGCGTACAGCGGCGCCAGCGTGAAGGCGCGCCACACCTCCACCACGCCCGCGTCCCCGCCGCACACCAGGTACTCGCCGCACCGGGACAGCACCAGGCACTGCGACACAACCTCATATATACATCCCACCAAACATAACACCCTGTGCCATTTCACAGTTAATACATTTTTAAAATAACTGAATAAATATTCACTGAAAATTTGAAAAAGTAGCAGGCAGTAATATCATGTTCTTCAAGCGCTTTGTTAAAAATAAGCCTTCATTTTGTAATCTTTTTATACAAAACATAGTCACAATAGACTGTCGAGTGGTCGCAAGTGTCTAAGGTCGGGCAAAGTATTATTTATTGGGTTTTATAAAAAAAATCTCAGAAGTAGCACGGAGTCTTTTGTCCGGTATATGGTAATAGGCTCACCCCTTATTATATGGGACTCGTAACATAAATAATGGAAAGTGGGTATTACATTGTACATACAGTGGCATTAAGTGCCGTAATATGCATCTCTGTCTACTGTATCGGGAATATAAGGCATGATGTGATGTTTGAATGTAAAGTTGTGTCACCTGGAAGTTGTCGTTATGCGTCTCGTGTCGCAGCCTGCGCCCGTTGAGCGTGTATGCGGCGAGGTGTCCGCGTCCGTACGCGACGACGACGACCCCCTCGCGGCTGAGCGCCAGCTGCTGCGGGGCGCAGACGCCGTCGGGCGGCGCCAGCCCGCGGAGCACCTCGCCGAACGTCGTGTGGATCAGTACCGGCCCGTCTGCACGACACACGTGTTACTATTGGGTACTTGCCTACTAGTCAAATTCAATACTTTTTTCGAACTGTCAATAACGAAAGTTTTCTAAGAATTTTGTACGGAATTCTGTATTGTGACGTCACGTTTTTTAGCGTCAAACAGCTTAAAATTTGCTGGAAAAAATACTAAAATTAAGTTATTCATAAAATTAATTATTGAGAGTGTGATTATTTTTTTATATTTTATTGTATTGAACAGTCGAAATAATTTATTTTCGAATTATTTCGAAATAACTAAGGAAAGTATCCAATTACATTTTATTCTCTATGTTAGAACTTATTTTACATACCGTCTACTAAGATCCTTATATTGGATTCTATATTGGACTTGCTTTATCTACACATAATACTTAGTACACCGGCTAAGCAAGTGTACAGTGCACATAACCATTTATAAAAATCTCTTAATAAGGTGAATATAATATGTCTCCTTTATTTTCATAAACATAAATTGTTCAGATTGTTCTATCTCTACTTAAGCATCAGAACATCTTATATTTAGATTTTTGCAAGACTATTTGTTAATATACTCACTGACTGACGAAGATATGACTAAGCCTAGTTCAGCAGACACGAGTACTCCGTTGATGGGCGCGTCATGTCCCGTGAGCGTGACTCGGGGCGCGGGAGTCTCTCCTTCGCCCACAATCCCACCGTGACGAGCAGACCTATGGGAAAACAATCATATTTACTGTAGTATAACCGCTACTACAGTTATATCATAATCGCATCATAGGCTTACAATGGGATTTCGTCTTTATTACAACACTATTAAGTTGTAAATCTGACAGTAAAAATCCAAGATAAATAATGTTGTTTATTCCTTACCAATGCCAGAGCAATACAGTGCAGTCTTCGGATCCCGACGCAATGTAGCAGTCGGAGGTGATATTGCATTCCGAGCGACACACGCACGTCACTACGCCGTAGTGACCAAAGATTATTTGTACTATTTTAGCTGAAAAAATAATCATATGCGTGTAAAAAAGGGATCAAAAATCAAGTACCTAACTAAGAATGGCTCGAAATTGGTCAAGTATAACTGGAAATTAATTAAAATAGTATTTTGTTAACAAGTGCATTACCGGTTTCTGTGCTGAAGACCCGGAAGCTATTGTCCCAGAATCCGGCCGCGATGAGGAACCGTGAGTCTACGGTCGTGACGAAACAGTTGCTGCGCGCGCGCACTCGTTGGGAGAAGTTGTCGCCCAACTGACGCCTCGCCAGGGCCTGGGCACCGCCCGCCGCTGGAATACAATATACATCATTAGGATTTTTTTTCGACGCCTCAAACACTGAAATAAGTATTTTACCAAAATTTTGCCAAACATGTTTAAAACTTAATGCCGATCTAAAAGTACTATGGAAAAAGTAAAAATAAACGCAGCTAGATGTAGTTACCCCAGACAGGATCCATAAGCAGTGGATGGTGTGGGTGGTGGTTGTGGTCTGCTTGGTGGCGCGGCGCGTGCGGCCCGTGCGGCGCGTGCGCACACCCGCCGCCCGCCCAGCGGTGCGCTGCGAACGCGCGGGCCGCGCTCACCTGCACGGGGAACACTCTCGGTTACATACTCTGTACTCCAGCATGGTACAACAAAATAAAGGATATTAAATCAATCAAACGAAACATAGGCACACAAGAAAACTTACCGTAACTACAGCAGGCATTGTCAATTGCGGGTAAGTATTCGCAGACACGTGGACTACAGCCGCGTTGGAGGGTAGTTTCAGTCTCAAACACACGTCATCAGGGGCCGCAGCAAACATCAGTGGAGCGAGATGCATCGTGGACGCGCGGGGAGGGTGAGGTTCGCTCAGTAGCTGCGCAGGAGTCTGACCGAAACTTCGGATCTGATCTTCAATAGCTGCTCGGGTTACGGGCTCTGTAATCTGGTCGAGTCGGACCCCACCTTCGTATGTCAAGTAGTAGAATACATTCGTCGCACGGACCGCTTCGGGACCTGGTGGAAACGTGATGAGAATCATAATTAAATTAGAAGTCAATTTATTGCTGCAGTATATTTACTGCACTATTTATAACACTTCAAAAATGTCGTCGAAAAACTTACCTCGTTGCTTGTATCCAAATATTAAATCTATCCATTGGTGTAGCTGACAGCTGACAAATTCAGATTCCAGCGCCATTCGGTTGATGCGCACGAACTCTTCAGCGGAAGATGCCCATGGTGGAAGGATGACGTCTCCCGAGGGAGATTCTGGGATGCCCAGTCTGAAGCCTGAACTGTTCACAAGCATCTCCGGCAGGAAAAACAGCTCAGGAATCAGTTCCTACGGAAAATTCCATTGTGATCATAATACTCGAGCGCCAATCGTGGGTTTAGGAGCAAAAGAATTAAATGGTCACACTCATACCTTTACATCAGAGGTGTCTCGTTGGCAATTCTTCCATGACATAGCAATGGAGGAAAACAGTCTGTTGGGGTGGTCGAACTTGCCACCTTGAAGCGCAAGGAACATGGTCGTCATCGGCTCCTGGTAGGGACAAATCAATCATCTTGTATTTGTAATGTAATCACTGCATCTATTGTACATAAAGACAAAGATACTAGTGTAAACATATTAAACATTAATTTTGTCCTTGTCCAAATATCAATTAACAACGTCCATTACAGTTTTGTTATTAACTAAACCAAATTCTATTTCGGTCACCTTTTAACATTTTTAACTTTTTTGCCGCATGCAGTGGCACGTGCATCTGTCGCGTCTCGTCGCCGGCGGCGCACGATTGTTGTGACATGCGCACATTTAGTGCAGACATCTTAATGCATTCACTAATTTACTATGATCGCTAGCAAAATGATTCTCTTTGAAGACTTCGTTTATAGCACCACAGGACTATTGTTCAAAGACTTACAGACTTCGAGAGTGCAACTTGAAATAACTAGTTGTCAACTTGTAAATTCAGGTCGTTTCAGATAAATAGAGTGGACTGGATGGTGTAGAAAGAAACATCAAATCCCTAATATTTTGCCAAGTTTCAGTAGTTGTATTGCAGTGACAGTAATGAACAAGATAAAACACTGTATGCACCTCATTACATTACTATAAGTTACGAGCAGACAAACAATACCGTACAATAAATAACTGGTTAATTAATCAGTTACAGCCATGTTAAATAGACCGTGAACTGTACAAGATAAATCAATTACATTGTTCATTCCTGTCTTAATCTTAGATTGCTGTTTAATTGTTCAGTACGACTAACTAATGGTTATGGTTTCTCCCATAGATTGCTACGAGGTCTGCAGATATACTTACTGACTAGGCTAATCATTAGAATTTATTGAGTAAGGTAAGGACTGAATAAATATCTATTTATAAAATCTTTGCTTATTATACAATCTATTTTTAATACCAATAAAGGACAACCTGTCGCTTCTTCTACGTGTAGTTGATATTCATTATTAGCTACAATTATACAAAAATAATAATTAGGTATTTAGGTAGTGACCAGATAAACAGGTGGCTAATAAGCTCATGGCAATAAAATCATTTTTCAATTATACAAAATGGAATTATTACAAGTGGTGAGACTGTATAATTATTATTCTCGTACGCGTGACATTTAATTCTGTCGCCAAATGTGGTGTGAAGCATTCAAATTGATGAACCATTCGTTTGTGATAAATCATACACGCGCTGTTACTGGCAACACTTAATTAGTATTTAATTTCAGCATGTAAATGTGTTGCCATTTCAGGATAAGACTGTTCAGTTTCAGTGCACATCATTTAAGGTGTTTATTAAGTTTATAGTTAAATTAAATGTAAAATATTTATAAATTTATTAGGTATGTGATACAAGAGTTTTATAATCCACCGAGCCACCTACGATTTTCTCTATCCGTGCTTCTTACTTAGACTATGAAAATAAGGTAAGTTCGTTCGTGCAAGTAAGCTCTTCATTTTGATAAAGGTTATTCGATATATTGAGTACACTCACAATGCGAACTAGCCAGTTTAGAACAAACGCTGCAGTAGAATAGTGCGTGCCGTAGTGGAAGGGCGGCGTGGACTCATGCTCCCACGTGTTGTACCGCTCCTCGAAGTACGCACGCCTACTCGGGTTCAACGCACCGATGGGCTGTTATAAAACATAAATAGATTAATATCTTAATTATACTATTGTCTCAATAATCTTGCCTCTGAGGTAGTTATTGAAAGTTTCACAAGGTTCAAGAAGGAAATATTTCGTTGAGAGACTTATTTCCTCATCTCATGCAGGAATTCTACCAGGCAATAATAAAGGGGTTTAGAAGGTGGTATATTACCTTGGAAAGATCCCTGTAGTTGGAGGGCTGGCTCAGGTCCAACTCCTCGCTCTCGTAGTTTGTGAGAATCCATGGGAAGACCGGGTATTGATTCAAGTCGTTGTAAGTTCGTCCTGTTAACAAAATTAAAGAAAAACGTTATTTAACCATACCCATAAACCATTGATGTGGTTGAGAATAAAATAGTCTCAAGTTAATCTCAAATAACTATATAAATTAAAGCCAGTGAAGGGCGAATAAAGGATTCATTAAATTGCATAATTAATAAGTCCGATCCATAATCACTGTTGCAGAAGAGTTAAATCGCAGATTGTATCTTAAGTAATAATTATTCCTTAATATCTAAATTCTAAGTAGTACCAGGCTACCAGGTTGCCAGATTCTCTAAGAGATAAAAAGCATTCATTGTAAAATCGACACCAGAAGTATCAATTAATGTAAGGGACAAAACACGTATTTTCAGGAGAGCCAAAAAACGATTTTATTTTTTTAAATCTCTCTATAACTTTTAACTGGTGCTTCCTATTTTAATTGTGTCTAGGACAAAGTTTCTTAGAATTTCTTCTTCTTTCATGCTATAAAGTTAATATTTTGGAATACCCAGCGGTTTAAAATATAGCATGTCCCTTACATTAAAAAAATATGTTTAGTTGTGCCTTACGTTACCAATATTTTATGTGTAAACCGTCAAGCATAGCGTAAGCAGCAAAAGAAATAGAAAATTATACGAAATTCTACTGTAAAGAACTTTTATAGTATTGCAGTTTGATGTAACTATAGATTATTTACTAAAATTATGGTATTTTGATACTTTGGAAATAGGTTCTTTGCATGATTAATGAGCTTAGCTATCACAAATTTAAATGAAATTTAGGGATACAAAGATTTCTTGTTAAAATATTTTTATTATTTTCGACTTTTATGTCTGCGTAATTATTATAAATTCAACATACTAATCAGTGTATAACAGTTTTTGTTAAGTTTAAATAAATGTCCTAAAATTAACAGTCTTCAAATTAACAGTCTTACACACATTTTAATCAATTTAAAAAAATATAATTATGTATTTGACTCCATGATCTCTTATGATTGACCAAAGCTAAGGCCTTAATTAACAGTTGTACAAACTATGTACTTTTAATATTTACGTTTCATTGGTTTTATAATAAAAAAAGAAAAAATATTTTCTCAAACTTAATCAACAGTCTTATTTATTGAGTAATTTAATGAATGTACTGGAAACGAAAGACGATGACAAAATATGAATTGTCTGAAGAAAAAAATGAATAAAATAATATAAAACATGAACACTAATATATATATTATTACAAGAATAAATATATAATAATTAGGAATGGGCAGACAGATTATGATGATAACTATTAGTAAATTAAACTTTTTTAATGGTGAAATCGGAAGGGTTGAAATAACTTTTTCTATTTGGTATTTTATCTAGTTATCGTCATCAGCTGTCTTCACATCTTCATCGTCATCAGTTTCAATGAGGGTATCTTTAACTGACGATTTAGTCGGCAGGTTCAAATATTCAACATGAAATCTTTTTGGTATTATGCCCGTGTCGCACAATTTTTTGACATCATTGTATTTTGGAATGGAAATTGGGAGCCTCTCTTTATATCTCGGAACAATAACTAGACATGGAAGCCAGGCTAAAATAGCAATTTACAAACATATATCTGATGCTCTCACTCTTTACACGATTTTGCGTAGGCGAGAATGAGACCGCAAACTGAACATAGTTCTGATAATTTGCAGGTTGTCACAACTTTCAGTGGACTCATTACAATCTTATGTCATTGGACTCATTCAGCATACTACCAAATTCAAAATCACGTTTTGACGTTCTATGTTTTACAGTTTCACTCAAGTTTGACACCTTCCTCACTTTGCCGGATTATAGTACTGAAGTGTCACCGTGGTTGTATTTACGGCTCCTGATAATAAAAAATATTTTCTAAGGAATTAGCGCAAAAGAAAGGAAGAAAGGAAGTGTATGGTCGTTCTTTATTATGTGTTTTACTTAATAAAAATACGTCTTGTGTGATTGACGGCTGCAATTCACATTTAGGAAGAAAAGGAAACAGTGGTGAATAAATTCACTTTCATTCGTAACTTTTTGATATGTTTTCAAATAAATTATACTGGAAATACCGGTAAACTATAAATAAACGTTACTTATTTATTGTCGTACTTTTCAATTGCAAGCCTAAACAGTATTATTCCATCTTTTCCTAAAAAATCTAAATCAATTTTCTAAGTTAGTTTTTAAGCTAGTGATGTGGTCATGTTACATATCGATATTTTAGTTAGGCTTTGAAGTTCTTTAAAGTATAGACGTCGTTTAGAGCCCGAGTCACATGATACTTTTGATGATTTGACAGAACACGACTACATTTTGTACCCATCATCTATTACGGAATATTCTAAGAATGTCATAGAATACATAATCGGCTTTATCGGAACGAAATTAAAAAATCTTTGCAATGCGAAAAATGCCTAGAAATACGGAGAGTATTCCTTAAAGATCTTTGATATCTTTAAATATATAGGAGGCCTATTTAAACCAACATATGGCTTAACCAAGATCTGTCAACTGTCCGAAAAAATTATAAGAGAATATCAAGTGCATATTGATTCAAAATCTCTCGGTAAACCAAAATAATTATTAGATTGATTAATAAAGTTTCAGCAAATGTGTTGCCGTCAAAAAATTTACGTGAAAAAAAAGATTATTCAATATTATCTGGACTAATTATAAAAAAAAATCGCACAATGCCATCAGAGTCACATACAACAACGTCTACAGGCAACTCATGGGACTACCGAGAGGTTGCAGTGCTTCGGGGATGTTTTTTGATGCTCGTATTGACACCTTTAATGCCATACAGCGCAAAAGGATAGCCTCCTTTATATCCAGAGTTGGCATGTGTAAGAATGGTATTGTTACGAGTTTGGCTGACCGCCTGCATTTGACTGCAACGTACAGACGATGGTTGGCTATGGTCACCTAATTTGCATATTTTTTTTTTCCTCCTATTATTATGTTATTAATTAGTTTATTTACATATACCTACAATTATCAATTTTTTTTTTTTTTTTTTGTTATATTTTATAATTATATTTGTATTTATAAATATTGTGCATGTAACTATGGATCTTAGAGTCTGAAATAAAGAGTTATTATTATTATTATTATTATTAGAACAATCTTTCTATGATGATCACAGAAATCTTATAAAGTCCATAGCACAAAAATATTTGAAACTTAGGATACATTATGTAACTAAAAATTTGACTGTACCTACCGAAAAAATTCGCACATATTTAAAAGTCAATGATAAACACATAATAGTACACCACTACCACGGTTTGTAAATATGCTTTGTTTGTGAGCAATTAAATTATCTTTTTAATATTGTGTTTTATTTCTGAACCCACAACATCCAGATTAAGAACCTAATGTACGTTAAATCACAGCAGCAATACTTTCAGGTACCATAATTTGTCGATGAAATATATTAATATATTCCCATCACTAGCATATTTACAAGTAGTGACAACCTGCATAATAACGAAACGAAACAATACACATGTCTCTTTCTTATACACTATCAATACCATAAGTAAAAAAAAGATGAATATATGGATTGTAGTTGTTATTTTAGCCTGGCTTCCATGCTTTAGTTATTGTTCCGAGCTTTATATAGAGATGGCAAATTGTCTGTGTTCCTTTGACTTATGTCATAATGTAAGAGAATAATTTAGAAAAAACAATAATCTTGAATTAAAGTAAGGGACATGTTATTTAAATCGACTGATTTGAGGTTTAAGGTAAGGGTGTAAATTATTTAATACTATGACTTACTTTATTTTTCAGAGAAAAAAATGTATAAATGTCTGTTACATAAATTTTTCTGTCATAAATCGTTTTACGCAGGCCAAAAATTTTTACTGTAAGGGCTCTTTTTTTAACGATAGATTTTTTTAATAATACCAATCGATAGAGCGCAAAATTCTGGATCCAATGATATATATAACTTATTTTCGTCAAAATGTCCCTTACATTAATTGATACTTCTGGTATCGAAATATAATAACTTTCTATAAGTTATATTGGCTATCGTCACTAGGTCGAGTTTCCCTTTAACACCATGAGGTCGGCCTCGCGCGACAGTGGCGCAACCGTTTGCCAATCATCCTTCGCAAATAATTAGTAGATGTGACAGTTCAATGATTAAGGTATTGACCCTCTTTATTGTATTTTGTACCTTATTGTTTTAAGTGACGATGATGAAATTATAACAATCAGTTTTGTTGAAAGCTACGCAAGTAGTAACGCAACTAAACCGTAGCGGTCAATGTCCCTCAGTTTTCATGCGAAAACAATTGAAACAGGGCAGATTTCTTAACGTTTACTTGCTTTGTTCGCTTTTTGTACTTTACGACATTGTATTAAAACTGTAACGAGTCTAATATTGTCAAGACAAATGTTTTAGAATTTAGATCGTAAGGAAAAGTTGAACGGAACAATGTCTTCATTTCCACAGATAAATACTCTCTCTTTATTGCTTCCCATTTATATTTGCTTATTGAAATGCCATTGCACAACTGCACATTAGGAATTGAGGATATCTATTTAGGTACATCTGTGTATAAAGACAAATATCTATTTTAAGGTCATCGCGTACGTATATACTATCTGACATTAAATTCACGTTTTACAAAACAACAAGAAACTATTCAACCTTTTCAAAGAAGTCGATTATTCTTGGCAATAATTTATTTTATCAGCTTCCACACTACATTGGAACAAAGACACTTTTGTTAACGTTAGTTAATTAGTAATTTACCTAGATATAAGGAAATAGGTAAACAGTGCGTGTTTGTAATCTGAAGGTAATCATTGTGATTTATTCTGAATTTTAAGTACCATATTGGAATGCGGGGTATGAAGATAACTTGTCGATAGACAAATAATTAATTAACTTATACAATGAATACATAATGAGCCAACATAATACTTCAGGTATACACATACATTACTAAGGCTCTGTTTGGTTTGTCTAACTGACGGATTCTTTCATACAAAATG